TTAACCAAATTTCTCTCTTCTCAAAATATATTTATGTTTGTGTCAAGATGACAAAATATAACCAGTACACTTAAGCACTTGAATATGCTTAGGTCTACAAATGGGTGGAAGAAGTAATAAATGCATTTTTCATAATTATACCTGCTTATCCTCAGGCTTCTAGAATCCATTTTATGCATAGTTCTGGGGAAATTAGAAAAGGATAAAAGATATGAGAAGATATATTGTTAGTAAATATAAGAAATACCATGGAAAATGGTTGTGTACACTGGATGAAAATAAAAGGACAGCTAACTAGCACTAAGGACACAGATTTCAGGTAAGCTTGGATGAAGACTCATTCTGTCATCACTTTGATCGTCTCTCCAGCAGGGGTCGCCATGAACACATGTCTTCCCAGTTAATGGTTCTCCAGCAGATGTGTCCATCAGTGAGCACAAAGAAGGACACAGTACCCAAGGGGAGGAACTGAATCACAGCAATACAAAGGGCAGCTTGCATTCAGCTTTCTTGAAGTCTTTCTCTCTGGAATTATCTTTTATTTCAGTAATCTCTTTAATGCATGAAAGTTGAGGATTGTCTGTGTGTCCTTTTAATATATATTGATTTAAGTGAGTATATTTTGGTCATGAGATTGGAAACATCTGCATTTCATTGCTCACACAGCAACATAAACATAACAAAATGACCATGCATTGTAGAGTGATCCCTGGCTAGTCATGGGACAATTCGATGGAAATGGATATATATATATATATATATATATATATATATATATATATACATATATATATATATGCCTCTAGAAATAAATTTAAAAGTTTGAGTTCTAGAATATAAATCCTGTGCTAGAAATTGCTATTTTAATATCCCCAAGAAGATGGAAGAACCATGGTTTAAGATAAATCTGTTCATAGTCTAGGGTGTAATTGAAAATGCAGGGGAAATTTTTTATATAATCATGTTCCTTATGTGTGAAAATATTTTTCACAATATTCACAGGAATATTTGAGATTTGAAATAATTAAGTCATCTTTTCCTTACCCTTAATTGTAAATAGTTGTCTCTGCCACAACACTCACATAAACATGAACTTTATATTCAGTAAGTGCAGAAGAAATTGATTTTGAACATATATGCAAACATTTTTTAGATAAAATCAGTGCAAAATTGATGCTAATAATGGTCCATTCAGCTGTCATAGCAATATGTTTTATATTACGCAAGCACTTCTCAGTGTAGTTTTCTTTGTGAGATATATAATACTTCCTTAAAGGAAAATATGTTGCCTTTTAGTGGAGCTATTAGCTAATAAATTTAAAATACAGGAATTAAAAGACACCAAATTAGACTTGTTTACCTAAGAGATGGCACTTAATTTATCACTGACACAGAAGGCGGAGTATAAGCCCAGCAGCCCAGCTTTCCTAATCTAGGCTGTGCACACAATACAACAAATGTTTGAGGTCAGCACTTGAGGATTTGGGTTCTGGTAATGTTCTACATCCTGATGTTCCTGTTACAAATCAAATCACTATCCTGCCATTCAGTAAACGACTTTGGTATCAAATGTCCTTTTGGACAACTAAGTCTCAGGGGAACATTTCTGAACTGAGATTTCCTGTTCATCACAATCCAGGCTTAGTTTCAAAGCTGCATTTTTAGGGTCAGTGGTAAAAAATGATAAATTTTATCTTGTTGGGGATATTAAAATAGCAATTTCTAGCACAGGATTGTTATTCTAGAACTCAAACTTTTAAGTTTATTTCTAGAGGCTCATCTATCTATCTATCTATCTATCTATCTATCTATCTATCTATCTATCTATCTCCATTTCCATCGAATTGTCCCATGACTAGCCAGGGATAACTCTAGAATGCATGGTCATTTTGTTATACTGCTAATCATTATTTTTATAAAACATAGATAATCAATGAATAAATATTGATGTTACACTAGTAGCTTGTATGATATTAATAGAAATGGCAATAGTGGTAGAGGATCTGGTAGGTCCTTAAGTCAAGAATTGATTCTCTCCAGTGGCAGTTGTTGTTAATGAGCCCTATGACTTCAGACCCTGGTATATTTGGCTATTACTCACCCACAAGGCAAGGTTTTCCCGTCCACTGACAGTAACTTTCTTGTTCTTATAGGGTAAAGGTGGATATTTAGTGTCACCTGAGAGCCCTGTTCCTCCTTCTTCAAGGTTCAATCCTGTACTTTGAATGGGAGAACATACCCATTTGCTCGGCTGCCTTGCAAGGGACACTCTCCTCAGTCCATTGCGGCTTCACATTCTATGATCTGTTTATCGCTCCACCTCACACAGAGGATATCTCTTCACGCACTGATCAAATACTCTTTCTTGGATTCCCAAAGAGATCTTTTCCAAGCCTTTTGAGCTTGGCTGATGTTAAGAACTGGATTTGCCGAATTTTTCTGAGACCAAAGCCTTGGAATACTCAACATGGTCATGCCATATCAACAATATACAGTCACTCATTACCTTGCTCACTCAGGGTTTCCCCTGCTTTATATAATTTTATTCTACTTTGTGAACTGTTGGAGGGTCAGTCACACACCTTAGTCTGGCATTAAAAACTGCTTGTATTAGGAACTATAAGGCATGGGACACAGAGTGATGCACAGCTTTGTTGAACAACATATTTTCTAGCATTGCTGAATGCTTGCCGTGAGCACATCAACTTCTGAGAGGGTATTTTGGTTAGGAGGAAGAATCACTATATATATATATATATATATATATATATATATATATATATATATTATTGCCACCTGAGTCCTGGGATTAAAGGCGTGTGCCACCACTGCCCAGCTTATATATATTTTTCTTTTTTTATTATTATTATTAAGAAATTTTCTATTCACTTTGCATACCAACCACATATTTCCCCCCTCTTCTCCCTTCTCACACCCCAGCCTCCCCTACCCCCGCTACACCCTCCATGCCCACATTTCCCAAATCAAAGTCTCCCATGGTCATATATTTTTAATGTAATTTTTAAAGTACCCTTTTGGAATTTCTTGCATGCTACAATGTATTTTAATTGCATTCACCCCCACTCCTTTCTAATATTCTTCACCCTCACTCTCTTCAGACTTTATAACACCCCCCCTTTTATGTAACCCACTGAATCCAGTTTGTACTTCAGTTATACACATTGGCATGAGACTAACCTACCAGGGGCCAACCCCTAAAGAAAACTGATTCTCCCCACTCTAACAAACTTATTATAATTTTAAAAAAGATACAAAGTAGGTCTCAAAAACATAGGAAAACTAAAGTAACATTACATTCGGTATGACCTGAGGAGCTCTAATAATGACCAGTCTTACAAAGCATGCCAACTGTAACAGTAGTGGCATGAAAATCATGAAATAACCAAATACTTTCTGATTGGAATTAAGGTCAATTAGGTAAGACAAAATCAATATTTGACACAATCATGGGACAAGAAACTGTAGCTAGAACAGTCATAGATCCTATGATAGGAATTGTAAATGAAGACACTTGGGCAAAGTAGTGAACAAAATAGACAACAAACACCGCAGTAAAGAAACCCTGTTCTTTAGTAACAGTGCCTTCCCAAGAAAGTATATAAAAGAGGCCAGGTAACTAATGATTACAGTTTTGTAAGCTGGTCAAGACCTGAAAGAATAAATCCAAATTTTTTTTCATACCTTAATCAATGGAAAACAATTTCTTAGAAAGTAAAAGTTTTCTTTACACTCATGGCCACTCTTTTATGGTTGATTTCTGTTTAGTACCAGGAGCAGGAAAACTCATTTCTATTTGCCTATTTTGATACTAGAAGAGCTTCAATTCAAAATCATTAATTTTAGGGCTGAACCTGACAGAAATAAATTATAAAGTCCTAGTCTTGTGAAAGCTGCTAACATTGAAAACTGCTAGGGAACACAAGTTGATAGTCATTCATGCCTAATAGACAGACAGTCCTGAAATGCTCAAGAGATCTGAGAATATGGCATTTAAAATGTTTAATACAAAAGCTTTTCATGAGACAGAGACATGCTGGCTCCTGGCAGCTCCATTATTTCCTCCAAAGAAGATGAGTGGGCACAGAAAAACCTGCACCTGGAACTTGCTCCAGAGTGGCAGCACCAGCCACGGAGCAAAAATTGCCTTTCACCTCATCTGCTGCCAGGGCACTCTTTAGACCATGGACAACAGGACTCTGGGGAATCCATTGCCTCACTTTGCCTAGACAAGGTAGGCTGGACCTCCCCACAAGTTCCTACCCCACAACTATTGGATCTGCTGAGACCTGGCAGGCCTAGGACTGGCAGCTGAAGACCGATGTTGTTGCCCTGAGACCTCTGCCCTCACCAGCCATGGAAGACCCTGGGATGACTGTCTAGGTAGCTAGCAAGTAAGTCTCCATCACTTTCAATTGCAAACCCAGTGCAGCTTTAAAAATCCTATTAAATAAGCATTGATTTTAAATCCTATCTTTTCTATTCCTAGCAAAGTTGGCTGCCAGATATAAGAACTGACTAAAAAAGGTGGCAATCCATAATGGAATCATACCATATGGTTCCTTTAAATTTACCCATGCATAGACTTTTAACTTTCAATTATCTGACTGAGTAAAAGATTTAATAGTCCCTCCTCTGTTGTATATTCATTGTCAGTCAGATATTTGTGTATATTGCCACTAACATATCTTTGAAATATATTATTCCAAAAAGAGCTTATGGATAGTAGAAATTTTCAAAGAAAACTCTGAAATATCATCTATAATTTTAAAATTAAAAAGTGAATTCTCTATAGGCATATGTGTGGTCTGACTTCAGGCATCTGGGGACTCTGTGTTTGTGCTCAGTTGTTGAGATAAGCAAGCCTTGCAGCTGTGCCCACCCTAACTGGTTCCCAGTGATTTGCATGCACTCACTGCACAGCCTTGAGGACTTCTTCATATACCAGTCACACCCTGTGCAGTTGTCAGTGCAGTCAGGACTCAGCATGGACATGAGGGCCCCTGCTCAGCTCCTTGGGATCCTGCTGCTATGGTTACCAGGTGAAAAAGGACTAAAATGGGAATTTCACTGTTACACTCTGATTATTGTTGACTGAAATTTGGGTGAGGTCCTCTCTTATCATGCCTAACTATGTGGACATTTATTATGTCTCCATTTCTAGGTGCCAGTTGTGAAATCCAGATGACCCAGTCTCCATCCTCCCTGTCTGTATCTCTGGGAGACAGAGTCACAATCACTTGTCGGGCCAGTCGGAACATTAATAATTATTTAAACTGGTACCAGCAGAAACCAGGGAAAGCTCCCCAGCTCCTGATCTACTATGCATCCTACTTGGCAGATGGGGTCCCATCAAGGTTCAGTGGCAGTGGGTCTGGGACAGATTATTCCATCACCATTGGCAGCCTGGAGTCTGAAGACATTGCAACTTATTACTGTCAACAAGGTTATACCCCTCCCACAGTGATGCATGTCATAACATAAACCTCCATGGAAGCAGAAGTGAGAGGTTGGGCTGCCTCAGCTGCTCTTCATGACTTATTCACTGAAACTTTCTGAGATGTCATAGGCTTTTTACAAAAATCTCACAGAGAGACATTAGCTTTTCTAGAAGAGGCTAAACAGTCCTCTCTTTATGCTACTATCTTCCTTCCCTTTCATTTTCTACCATATAGAGTACCAATGCCGTTTCTTCCTTGGCAGAGGACACAGCCATTTCCTTTGAGGATTCTGAGTTGTATCACCATCTGGAACTCATACAGAAGAGTTTTTCTGTGGACATTCCAAGCACACATTATTTAAATGCAATGAATTTGCTTCTAAGAACCAGCATTTAAATGTCAGGGAAGTATTATTGAGAGAAGCTAACAATAAAAAGAATTCCTGGTTTTCTCACCAAAGCTAAAGCACATGTATGAGAGAAAGTGGAAGTTGCCTAACCATGATCTTCTGTTGTGCCTTGAAATTGCAGCCCTAGGTGTTGATACTCTCAGCTGTTTGCAGCACTTCACATAGGATTCTTCTATTTTGTTTGATACTTGTAAGCAGATGAGTGGGATGGATATAGGAGCCAGAAGAATCCTATGTGAAGTGCAAATAGATTTGTTTATACGAAGTTATTAGAGTAAAGGTCTGTTTTGAACATGCCTCCAGAAGTGGTATTATTGAAGAATTTATATCCCATAGCACAGTTTTAGTATCAAAACAAAATACCAGCCCAACAATTTTGATCTATCTTCAAATCTGTCTTCTTTTGAAATTGTGTGTAGGAAGATCTATTTCCTGTGGGATTTTTAATATGTCTCATTCATATATGTATCTATCTGTGCATGTTGATTACCCACAGACTTAATTACTATGATTTTTGTGCAAAAGAGAACAAGTCACAAGACATAATACCACATTTCTGGGCTTCACATTTTCTTAGTTTTGCTGTCTTTATATTTTCTACATAAGTTGTGGACTGAGTTAATCAACTTTAGAAACTCCTTCAGGAATATTAGTTTCATTACATTGAGTTTATGTGCAAATTGGAGATAATATACATTTAAAAGTGGTTTCATGGACCTGGAGAGAATGACCAGTTATTAAGAGCACCTGATGCTCTTGAAGAGGACCTCGGTTTGATTCTCAGCACCCACTTAATGACCCACAGCTATCTTTGACTTTAATTCCAGGGGATAGAGCACACTCTTCTGGCCTCAGAGGGCACCAGACAGGCACACAGTGTTCTTATATATATGCAAGCAAAACACTCAAACACAGATAAAGTCTGTATTCACTTGTATGCCTGTTAACATACAGGAACTATTCCACTACCCTTTGTGTATGTACATACTTTATTAAAATTACTTCTAAATATTTATTTTGAGATTCCTTATTTATGAATTTGTATACTAATCTTATCAGCAAATATTTTATCTCATGTCCTTCATTGCTTATTTATTAATAGAAATGGTGTATCTGTGCTATTATTTTAGATACAAGTGATAACAGTGACATTTTGATCTTTTCTGTAATCTGAGATAAAAATGCCCAATGTTCTTTCACTTATTATGAATAAGATATTTGCCTTACCTTTATAGGACAATATATGACAGTAAGATATTTTTGTGACTATGCCTTGGTTCGTTAGAAGTTTATCATAAATAGTTATTGACTCCAATAGAAATTATTTTTAAGACACTATAGAGTTACTTTTATAGATTTTTTTTCTTAATTGTCAGAAGGACCAACTACATCGATTGTTAAAATGACTATTGTTAAAATGACTTTTGTCTTGTGAAATACATTCAACTAGATTATGATGCATCATGGAAGATGAAGACAGGAAGGAAAAGGCAGGGGTAGAAGGAGAAAGAGGAGGGAAAGAAGAGGAGGAAGAGACACTAATATAAAATTTACTTTGTTCTGTTCCTCTATATGTCTGTCTCAATTTACACATCCTTCAAAACAACTTTGTTAGAAAAAACATTTTCAATAAAATATCAAAATTTCTCAATGGTGTCAGAGGATTAGTGCTGACATTTGCTCATTTCTGTTTACTGTGTGCATTCTCTGTGGTCCCTAACCGTAACAACAAAAGGATCACAGAATGAGCCTTTCCATCTTCCAATGTTTCTATCTTAGTGAATAGTCACTGTTTTAATTCCTTAGCTATTTTGAAAGATTTGTGGTAGCCATCTTAATATCTAAGACGCTCATAATAGAAAAAAGATGTCTTGAGACAAGAGAGATTTTTGTATTTGTTTAATTTAGATTATATATTTTCCCCTTTTTTTGAAAATAGTTTTTTCTCACATGATGTAACCTGACTATGGTTTCCCATTTCTCTTCTCCTTCTTCCTCTTTTCCTACCCTTCCATCAGGATCCATGCCCTTTCTACCTCTCAGAAGAAAACTATGCTCTGGGATGCAGCATACTTGATCATGTCACATGATTTTAATGTGTTCTTGGATTTGTTTTGCATCCAACCTCTAGGAGAAGTAGAATCATTCAAGAGTCCTATGTTATTCAAAAGCACTGTCAACAGTGTGACAAATGAATGATGGGTATTATTTCACTTCAGAGAACAATATGAAGTGACCTTTGACAAGTGAAGGAAAGGAGAAAATAGTGGACATTTGGCCCCTTTCTGTAATATGACAGTGACCACAGAATGGACCCAAGTAAATCAATTCATCGCAAGTAACGACTTCCTTTGTGATAAAAGTTTCAGAGAGAGTCATTATCCTATATCACTGTGCAGAGGGAAGATGAGAGATGCAGACTTGAGCATGTGGCGTCCAGTATGACCACCTTCTATTGTCTGAGTAGAGTTAATTGAAACAGAGTTGATTATGTCATTTTGCCTCATTTGCATGTGACTAAATTTTAAAGTGAATATTTACACAGATAAAAGTAAATACTATAAAACAAACAAGTTGGTGAATTTTTTGTAGGTTTCCTACTCATGCAAATTTCTGAATTCTACATCTGCCTCCACCAGTCACTGGATGGGAATTCTATCATGACAGTTAGGGTGTTTGGCCATCTGATCATCAGAGTAGGTCAGCTCGGGCACTCTCTTGACCACTTCCAGTAGTCTATAGTGGAGGTATCTTTGTGGATTTCTGGGGACCTCTCTAGCACTCTGCTTCTTCCTATTCCCATAGGGTCTTCATTTATCATGGTGTCTCTTTCCTTGTTCTCCCACTCTGTTGCTCATCCAGCTGGGAACCCCGCTCCCCTAAGTTCTCTTTCCTTCGACCCTTGCCCTCCATTACTCCCCCACCCCCACCCCCAGTTTGATCATGTAGCTCTCATCCATTTCTCTTTCACTGGGCGATCCCTGTGTCTTTCTTAGGGTCCTCTTTAGTAGGTAGCCTCCCTGGAGCTGTCAGTTGTAGTCTGGTTATCCTTTGCTTTACATCTAGTATTCACTTACGAGTGAGTATATACCATGTTTGTCTTTTTGAGTCTGGGTTACCTCACTCAGGATGATATTTTATACTTCCATCCATTTGTGTGCAAACCTCATGATGTCATTGTTTTTCTCTGCTGAGTAGTAGTCCATTGTGTATATGTACCACATTTTCTTTATCCATTCTTCAGTTGAAGGGCATCTAGGTTGTTTCCAGGTTCTGGTTATTACAAATAATGCTGCTATGAACATAGTTAAGCATGTGTCCTTGTGGTATGATTGAGCATTCCTTGGGGATATGAACAAGAGTGGTATAGCTGGGTCTTGAGGGAGGTTGATGTCCAATTTTCTGAGAAAGTGCCATATTGATTTCCAAAGTGGCTGTACAAATTTAAATTCCCACTAATAGTGTAGGAGTGTTCCCCTTGTTCCACACCCTCTCCAGCATAAGCTGTGTTCAGTGTTTTTGATCTAAGCCTTTCTGATGTGTATAAGATGGTATCTCAGAGTTGTTCAGGAGTCCAATCTGTGAGAGAGAGGAGGGCTTATATGAGCAAGAGATATAAAGACCATGATAGAAAAAGCAGAGGGACAAATAGCCAAACTAGCAGAAACACATGAACTGTGAACCAATGGCTGAGGAGCCCCCACGGAACTTGATCAGGTCCTCTGGTTAAGTGAGACAGTTGATGAGCTTGGACTGTTTGGGAGGCCCCCAGGCAGTGGGACTGGGGCCTCTCCTTGATGCATAGCTGTCTTTTTGGGGCCTAGGGCCTATGCAGAGACACTTTGCTCAGCCTTGGTGCAGGGAGGAGGGGACTGGACCTGCCTCAACTGAGTCTACCAGGCTGGGCTGAATCCCCATGGGAGACTTTGCCTTGGAGGAGGTGGGAATGGGGGGGTGTATTGTGGGGAAGGTTGAAGGGGTGGGATCAGGGAGGACAGAGGAATCCGTGGCTGATATGTAAAATTAAATTAATTATAAAATAAAAATATTTATTTAAAAAAACAAAAAAACCCAAAAATTTCTGAATTCTAATAAAAATTTGAAGAACCTTACAAATATGCCTCATTTTATTATACAGCATCAAAGACAGAGAACACTCCCAAGTACACTGTACACTGTTTACCTTGATTGAAAACCCAGACAACTATTCAAAGTAAAAAGACAAAAGGAAACATTATAGATCAATATCCTTAATCAAAATTCAATCACAACAAATAAATTCAAAACTGTGCAATAGAATTAAACAGCCATTTCTCAAAACATACAAATGACTAATAGGTATGTGACAAAAATGTTCAATGCTACTATTCATGAAGTGTATGCCACTAAAAATCTTAATGAAATATCTCTCTGTTCTAAGAGGTAAACCATTCATTGTAATATAAGTCAGTATGACCACTAGGCAAATCACCATAAGAAGTTTCAAAACACTGAAAATAGAACTATCATGTGCTCTAGTGATCCTATTATTGAATCTATATGATGGTTAACCTTGAATGTCACAATGATGTCAGAACATGGTCAAAAGAATGATGCATGGTGGACAATCCCTTGGGGAACTGAGAGGCCCCATT